AGATGGGCAAAATGAGTGAAGGGGGGTCCCCCGTTATAAAATAAGTCATGGGGGCATAATGTACGGCATCTTGACTCTAGTTAATCCTGTATTTGAAATTTACTAAGAGAGTAAATCTTAAAAATTATCAAAAGAAAAAAAATTATAACTGTGTGGTCATAGATGTTAACTAGATTCATTGTGCTGATCATTTCATAATATACGCAAATATCAAATCATGATGTCGTACACCCGAAACTAACATAATGTTGTATGTCAATTATACCTCAATAATAATAATAATAATAATAATAATAATAGGGACATTGAACTCTTCAGCAGCTGCCCCCCATTTGGCTGAAATAGCACCATTCTATCAAGTTGGCCGTGAGCTGCAGCTGCCCCACTTTTCCTTTGTTCATCTCCTATCGATCTAAACTAATCACATAATTAGCCCAGGCAGGAAGTCTTCTGTGGTGTTAAATAACTCCGAAAACCTACAGGAGATGCGTGAGTGGACGGATTGGAATTAACTTGCAGTACATTGCCTGTGGACTAAGATATGTTCGGTGCAAGGCCTGAAAAACAAGCTGGATTCAGCATAAAAAATGAATTATTTTTACTTGTCGGGTCCGCGGTTTTCAAAATGTGGGCCCAGGATCAGTATCACCTGGGAAGGTGTCAGGCCCCACTCCAGACCTACTGAGTGGAAGCATTGGGGGTGGGGCCTTGCTGTTAGTTCTAACAATCCCTCCCCAGCAGGTGGCGCTGATGGAGAACGCCCCTTTCCCTCACCATTCAACTCCCTCTCTCTCTCTCTCTGTCTCTCTCTCTCTCTCTCTCTCTCTCTCAGTTCTGGACTTGTTTTTGTGAGCTACCTTCTGAGAAAGAAGAAAAAGGGGAGGGGCGGGACAGAAAATCATAAAGGTGGTGAAGGAGCCCTGAGCAACCTGGATGGGAAGCCTGTTCACTAAAGTGTGACCATAGACCAGCACGATGGGGTTCATTTGGAATCTGGGGGTCTTATTCCTTAAGAACAGCATGGGACAGGGAGATGCTCGCTGGGCCAGGCTCACAAGACAGAATGCTCAGAGAGTGACGGAAATGCTGCTATCCTGTGGCCCCGGGAGAGGACATACGGGTGAAATAAAGAGCCACAATTGCTCTCTGAGAGTCCACCCCCACCCCCCAGATGAACACACAGATGGTACTTACTTAGTAAATGCTCATCATTTGATAAAAATTGAACCTGAGAGCCCTAGATTGCTTCCCCAGCTAATTTTGATGGGGGAAGTAGGTATGTTTATGGGGCCTGGTCTCTACAGAAAACCAGGAGTTAACTCGTAGAGCATCTACTATTCTCTCTTGTCCTGCCATCTGGGAAACAACTTGATTGGGCAAAGAGCCCCAAGCTTTAGTACACAGACATGCGCTATTACTAGTGTGTGACCTTAAGCAAGTCAGATACACCCTCTAAACTTCAGTTTCCTCACCTACAGAAGGAGGGTAATTGCTGCTTCCAAATGTTTTTGCTCAGCTTTATAGCACAAGCACCTGGTACATACAATACCTGGCACACAGTAGGTGTTGAATAAATATTTATCAAATAAATATACGAAGGAAGAGAGAGTGGAAAGAGAGAAGACTGGCTGATTTTTGTGAGGCTTATATGAAAAAAGAATAATAATATTAGTAATAATAGACTCAGAAAAATCTTCTAGGTGCCTAGGAGTAGGACCTACGTTCTTGCTGAAACTAGCCCTGTTCTTCCCATTCCTCTGCAGTCCACAGTGACTCCACTTTCCAGCAGTATCTCTGGGGCAGCCTCACTTCTGGCTGCTGAGCCATAGCCAGCGATGCATAGTAGGTGGTCAAGATGTTTGCAGAACTGAAATGAACTACAAGTGTGTGACCATGCTTGAGGGTTGGTAGTGGTTCCAAGTAGGACTGACCCATATTTTCAATCTCTATTATTCAGTAATCACATGTGAATTATTTTATGTTGTTTTATTTCTAGGATACATAATCATTAACCTTTTGGTGAGCACATTTGCCTCAGGGTTATAGTATGCACTTTTAGTAACACCCTTGCCACATGTTATTAAGTTGTAGGTATGCCATTAGTGGTCTTCATTTACATGATTAGAGGGATGCTTTCACCTTGAGAATGTTTGGATTTTCCCTGCCTTTCCTTGACTATCTCTCCCCCTTTTCCTTTGAATGTCAGTACAAAGCACCAACCTGCCTAATCAATAGACAATTAGGAGAAAAGTTAGGAAAGGTACTTATTAACTTTGCGGAGAGTCCTTGGTTACAGTTCTTCTCTAAAGAGCATAGGTGTTGGACTCAGACGTGAGTTGATCCCAAACCCACCTATTACCAGCTGTGACCTTGAGCGAGTCGCCTAAGTTTTCTGAGTCTAAATTTCCATGTGTGTCATATAGGGATCGTGTGTGGATTAAATAAAATAACATTTGCAAATATACATACAATAACTATACAGCAATAGTTCATTTCCTTCTTCTTTTTTAAAAATATATTTTATTGATTTTCTACAGAGAGAGGAAGGGAGAGAGATAAAGAGCTAGAAACACTGATGAGAGAGACATCAATCAGCTGCCTCCTGCACACCTCCTACTAGGGATGTGCCTTGACCAGAATCGAATCTGGGACCTTTTAGTCCACAGGCCGATGTTCTATCCACTGAGGCAAACCAGTTAGGGCTCATTTCCTTCTTTTACCAGCATGTTGGGCAGGTATACTTAGGAGGTACAGCCCACTGGAAGGAGGAGGTCTGTGCCCAGACCCAAGTCTCAAGCGTGGATACAGAAGAGGACAGATGGGAGAGGTTTCTGCTCAGAGACACAGCCCCCTTTTGCCCTCTGAAAGACAAGATGGGGTCTGACAAGTATTGTTCTGTAACGTTGGATTAGCTGTGGTGACGATATCATAGGAAAAGGTTCTTTCAGGCTCCTTGCCAAAAACAGAGTATCATTTTCTTCCATCATTTGGATTTTGATTGCGAGTGGAACAATAAAGATAAGGAATGGACCCGAAGTTTGAAAAGTAAGGACACAAAGAATAACATAAGACGCCTTCTTTCTAATGCTGTCAATGCAGAAAGGCACCAGCACAACAGAAATGGACCTGCACATACCTCCAAGTTATCTATTGTTTACCATAAAACTACCCTCTCCAAACAGAAACAACCTAGTGGGTATTTATGCCTAAGGAGGAATCACAGAGAAAAAGAAGGTTATTATTGCTAGGGACATTGTTCTGACTTAAGCATTGCTCTCCCTGGCCTTTTGTGTTTTCTAAATGCAGGCCAGACCCACTTTAGCACACGGAGTAATAGCTGTTTTTCAGCATATTCCTATCAGGTGGCTCTGTTAGCTCTTAGCTCATCCTTTAAAAGGCACTGTAAGTAGTCAATGTTGGACCATCATGCCTCCAGCTGAGCCTGGGCTCCTGGAGCTGGCGTGGAAGGAGAGATTCAGGGCAGAGTTACAGGAAGAGCCTGGAGTGAGGAAATTGTAGGGTTTTAATTGCAAAGACAAAATGGAAACCAAACTGCAGGTGGGCCTGCAGTATGACTCAAGTCACTGTTTCTCAGTGACGATTTACTTATTTCTTTGATCGAAAGCCAGTAAGTGACATGTGGAATTAGCCTTAGAGGCAGGGGGCAGGCATTCTGGTGGCATTTGCTCTCAAAACTGAGATGGGGTCAATGTCTGACCTGCTCCACAAACCAGCAGCCCGGAGGCTGGGTGAGGTTGCCAGCACGGCCACCTCCTCCCTGGCATTTCACCTTCTGAGCATATCCTGTTCACGCTGTAGTAGTTTCTACCTTTAGCTAAGAAAGCAGCATCCAGACTAGGCGTGGGAACCAGCGGGCTTCCCAGACCAAGGAGGCTCCTACAATCACTGTCAGTAAGCAGGGCGATGACAGACATGTAAGGTTTGAAATGGATATAAGTCAGTCACACTCAGCCTATTGACTTAACTGGATCAGAAGCAGTCAAGGGCCAAATGTCCCAAGTCGTGGGCTGACTAGCCTACCCCAAACCCCTCAAATAAAGATGTTATCTTATTTTGGAAAAGGGCCTTGCAGATATAGTTATGTTAAAGATATTAAGACCTTAAGGATATCATTCTGGACTATCTGAATGGGACCTTAATCCTGTGACGAGTGTCCTTATAAGACAGGCACAGAGGAGAGACACAGAGAGGAGTGGAGGAATGTGAGGACAGAGGCAGAGAGAGACATGGCCAAGGACTGCCGCGGCCACCGGCTAGGACAGCTTGTGGAGCCTCTGGCGGAAGCCGGCCTCGCTGGGTTCGGGAAGCCTGGGCTCCAGGACCCTGAGAGAGCACATTCCTGTTGTTTGGAGCCACCAGCCTGTGGTCATTGTTGCAGAAGTTACGGGAAACACCATGTTGGTGATGGTGCCGGGTTCTGGGAGTAGAACATAATTCAAAGGGGTTCTCAAGGAGGCGTGTGGTGAAAAAGAACAATTCTGCGTTTGGTTCTTTGTAGCAGAGCTATTGGTATAGTTTCTTTTTCTCTATAAACTCACCTCCCCCACCTTTTATGAATATATGAGGGAAGAAAGGGCCCACTTCCTTCATCCTCCCTTAGAGAAACTGGTTATTGTAGACCAGGGTGTGCTTCCTATGACAGTGCTGAGAGCTTTCCCTTCCCTTCCTTACGTTCGACTACTCAGCCCGACCGAGGTGTCTGATCACTGCATTTCATGTCTGTTCGCTTTGGGAAGCTAATTTTGCCATCTTAAGCTCTTTCCTCTCCGCCTCTCTGCAGGAGAAGAATGGGACTAGGGAGAGGTTGTACATTTCCTGTTCTAGTATCTCACCTACCAAAATGGAAACTGCAAATCTTATCTCTGCTTAACACACCCTTGGTTTCCAGGAAACACAGTAGTTCTTAGAGATCAACCTCCTGAGTTGTGACTTTCAGCAGACCCCAAATACCAATGTTAAGTGAGCCAACAGGAGATGAATATCTTAACTGCCCTTTATTTCCATCCAGGCCCAGGGACAATTCAGAAAGGGCTCTGTTCTGAGGGCGCAGACCAGGAGGGCGGAAGGGCTGCCGATGCCGTGGTGCTGAAGTTAGCCTGTCAGTCATCGTGATTGAAACATAACCGGGTGGCTTCCGCAGGGTAATAAAATGCTGAGCCAAAGGTTGCCGAATTGGAGGATGTAATAAAGTCTGCTTGGCTTCATTTCCGATGCTGCAGAGTCCTGAGAACAGGCCCATTTCCTTATTCCTTGGGATTTGTTCGAGTTGCTTTTCATGCCTGGAAATGATGGAACATAAAAACAGACATCTAAGTTAGAACCGATGGCAATGTTTGAGTCATGGCAATACATAAAACGAAACCAATAAAAACACATTTTAAAAAAATAAAAATATGGGCCAAGCCTAAAACAAATAATTCCTTTGCAAAAAAAAAAAAAGGGGGGGGGGGGGGGGGGGGGTTCATTTTATTTGGAAATAAAATTCCTAGAACATAGCTTTGACTCCCCCCCCCCCAAAGGAGGACCTGTTGGGGCCTTGGCTTCTGGGCCTTAATGGGGCTGTCAGAAACGGGTGTGCTCAGGAACAGGACTAGCTGGGCTCCTGGCTTGGAGGACACTGGAAAGGGCAGCGGGTTACAGCAAAGAGAAAGTTCAAGAGGAGGGGAAGAAGGATGAGGAATTTATGGGCTAGATTTCATCAGATGTGGAGAAGACTGAAAGTCCGGGCACTAAGAGACACTTGGGGTAGCTGGCACTATCAGGTGTGCAGAGAACAGGTGGTTAATAAGGGAAGCACTCAGAGCCGTGCTTTGCAAGTCCGTTATAAGGCTCACTAATGTGAGTCTCTGTTGTCATTATGATGATTTATTCTCCACTGCATTCCAGTCGGGAACCAGCAGGAAGAGATACTGAGGAATGTTGCTGGAAGCACGAATGGTCGTTTCCTTCGGTGTTTGCAAGGGACTTCACTTCCTGTTAGCTCTTTGTGACTGAGTGCAACACACCTGGGCTGAGGTGCCAAGGCCCAGCCACCTGGTGGCCAGTTAGTTCCAGTGTGAGTCTCAGGGCACCCAACATAGGCCCGTACACCTGGATGACAGCGCACATGTCAGCCTCTGGACATGGAGTTTTCAGCGAGTCTAGCACTACCTTTTCCTGTACATTTGAAACAGTCAGAGAGGAAAGGGCAGGCAGTACCTCCCTTGCCAGTGTATCTGGCCCCTCGGGAATCAGAATGAGGAAGTCGAATCACTTCTGCTTTAGACTCACATCTGAGCTCAGGATCTGATTCCCCTAGATCCACTGAGGCCTGCACGTGAGGGGAGAGTGGGTGAATGCACCTTTAGTGTGCACCGCTGTAGCGGGGCGTCTCATTCCTGTATGACACTGGGACCCTCCCCTGTGATGCCCAGCACCCCCCACTGGCCTGGACACACAGGTCATCTCCCAGTCATTCATCATCGCCCTTGTCCTTGAACAACTATTGACTTTGAGTCACAGGTACCTGTGCAGGCCTGGAAATGGATGTGCCCTTTCTTTCCCTCCGCCTCGCCTGTCTCGGGCAGATTTATGTCCTAGGAGAAGTTTCCTTCGGTGTTATTTTTGGTCTTTTGAACGCTGTGGCCCCGTGTTATTCCCGCACCCGCCCTTCCCGACACCAGCCCGGTGATTTCTGAGTCTCCGCGCGGCCCCATCCATTCAGCGGCAGGCTCTGTCGGCCCGCTCACAGGCTCCTGCAGCCCATCCCTCATGCAGCTTTCACACCCAAACTGTTGACCTCGCTTCTTAAGGCTCTGTCTTTCCAAGTTTCTTTTCTCCAACTAGTGAGCAAGGAAGCAGAGTTTGCTTTCCTGCTGGAGTACAGCCAGAGACCCTGTCGGCTCCTACACTTGGCCTGAAGTCCAGCCTCGCCGACTGGCTGTGCGTCTCTCGGCATGTGAGCACACGCTGTGGGGTGTGCAGGGAACTGAGCGGGTTAACACGGGAAAGCACCCCCAGCCGTGCTTTGCAGGTCCTTTCTGAATCCTCACTAATGTGAGCCTCTGTTGTTGTCATTACTATGATTTATTCTCTATTGCCTTCCAGTCGGGAGCCAGCAGGCACGAGACTCCTGAGTGTCAAAGCAAGTGCATGTCAGTACTTAGCCACGTAGGGGAGATTCGGCCTCATTATCGGAGAGAGTGCCTCTGGGCCACGTACTTATCTTCCCATCGTCTGATCGGATTTCACACGCTGTGTGCCCTTCTTCCTGTCTCTAGTTTCCTTCGGTACCACCTGTAGACAGCAGTGTTTCCAATGCCATCTGGGCAGATCAATAAAAGTGCTTATTGGCATGTAAGGCTCAGAAGAGGTGCACAGAGGTGACCAATGATATATATCCTCGGGGTGTTTCCAGCCCGTTTGGGAAACCTGGCACCAGCTGAGGCATGCAGTAGATAATCAGGAAAACGTGGGCTTTTGGAGTTCTGAGAGCAGAGCGCCCAGGGTGCCTGGAGTCTGGCTGGTGATGAACATGAGGGTGAATGTGTACTTTTCTAATATTTCTAAGTTCCTAACAGACACAGTGGCAGACGAGCTGGTGCTGGGCGAGGCCAGGCTGGAGAAGTAACTGGTGGTGCAATGAAGCTCCTTCTCAGGGTGTACTGTGCAGAGCAGGGATGGAGGCAGAGGGCAGCTCCCAACAGCCAAGAGATTTGGGGGGAGAGCCAGCAGCCCTGCACTGGGAAGGGAAACACAGATGTCTAACGAGGAGAGCGCGGATGAGTTTCAGGTACGGTCTGCAGTGTGGCATGCACTGTGAGCTTCTCAGTCCTCTCTCCCTGAAGCCTTCAGGAAAGGCTTTGAGGTCAATTTGCATTTTGTGGTCATGACTTAGTGAGGTCAGGGTGGAAGCGGAGGTGCCGAAGGCCACCCTGACTTCCCCTGGAACGGGCAGGTGCCATTCGGCTTGATAAAGTCTTTCTCCATAGAAAGGGGCGGAGTCCCCGGTTTTCAACAGCGCCAGCTGTCTCCGCACACGTTCAGGGCAATAAATTCCTCTTTAGGAAGTGTGCATGTGCAGGAGATGCCTGTCTTTTGCTCCACTCCCCGTACAGGCCCACAGGCCCAAAGCAAGGCGCCCTCTTCTGCTCCAAAGCTAAGAAAAGAGATCAGTGTGTCTGTCTCCTGTGGGGGAACATGGGCTGCCACAGTCAGTCAGTCCAACTTGATAGAGTATAAAAGGCAGATGCGGGACCACAAACACTCAGCAGGCTTCTGTTTCCTTAAGGTAGCGTTTTTCAACTTGGCTGCTCATGGGAATCACTGGGGGAGGTCTAAACACGCCCCAACTCCAGAGTCTGGTCTACGCATCCAGAGTGTGGGCTGGGCCTCTGGAGGGAGTCACTGAGTGTGATGTGATGGTGAGCAGCTCCAAGCCTGTCTCCTTCCTGATCCAGTTCCAAAGCGTGCTCCCCCAAAATGCTCCCAGTGCCGCAAAGCAATGCAGATGCTGGGGGCAGGGTTCAGCTGCCAGCAGCCCCCCTCCAGTGCGGTGGTCTGTCTGCACGCTCAGCAGGGCCACAGAAAGAGGACAAGCGCCGTCCTTCACGGGCAGTGATTCTTGCCCCGAGAAGCAGGAAAATGACCCGCTTTGCAGCCAATCCGGGCTGACACAGAAATCCAAGTAACCACATTCCCCAACGTAACATAAAACTCCTGGGTAACAAGTCCCTTCTTCTAAAAGTAACTTAGATGCTAGCAGGCTGGAGGCAGACAGCCGTGCAAAGTCATTCTGCTCACACCAAAAACAAGGTGAGCAATTTTCTAACGGCAGGCACCCCTGACCTCTGCTTTTCAGCTTTTTCTTAATAAACGAGAGTCAGAAATTGGACCACAAAAGCCACTGGTGGCAATCTCTTGCAGAAAGTGGGTAAAGGCGAAGGTGGGAGAGAGGTGGCAAGGATCAGGGAGCCACTCTGATTAGTATCTCCACGGCAACGTGACTGTCCTGCATCTAGAGACAGGAAGGGTCACCCCATGCGCAGTGGCCAGAAACCCAGGGCTGTGGGGCTGCCCTCCGGGAAGCAGGGCAACTTCCCAGTAAGGTTTCTGACTCACAACTACTCCTCTGTGACATGTCGCACATGCTGATTAATCGCAGCTTCTTGAGATGGGGAAGTACTGAACTTCCTGTTGAACAGGGCCCGTTTCCCAGTCCTCCAGATCCATGTCCTGGAGTTAACGACCGGCCCTGGGCACTGTGTGGCCGGCCCCCCAGGAGGGGAGACGCGGACCTCCGTTCTGCAGTGACATTGGCGCTGTCCTGTGTAGAGCGGCCACAGACTCAGCACTGTGTTCTCTTCAAAGGAATAAGCCAAACATGCCAGAAAGATGATCGCCAAGCTTGCAGGTGTGGGTCACTTACCGCAGCCCCCAGGACCCACCCCTTTATCCCAAGGTGTCCTGGCAAAGGAAACTACATAGGCCTGAGTCGGAGGTGGGAGAGAGGAGGCAGAACAGAGCAAACCACCCTGGAGGGCCCAGCTCCTCCTTGGCACGTGCTTGGCCTGGAAGGAGGGAAAGCTCCATCTTCTACGTTTGTTCGACGTGCACCCCCCGGGTCTGCCTCGAAGACTCCCCCAAAGGCTTTCTCGTTCTGAGGCAGCGTATAAAGGGCAGGCTTTATTTGCCTCTAAATCTTCAGCTGATATTACTCTTCCCTGAGACTCAGTCGAAATGAAAAAGGATTATTCTGTATTTACTTGCGTCTTGCAGGAGAGAAACTAATTTTGAGAAAGTTCCTACGATGTGAAACACTTTCCCTTCCTCCACACCCTCCACAGGGGCCATGGGAAGGCTGCAAGGCGGGCGTGCTTTGTCAGTGACCTTGTCTGACAGCTGCTGCTCATCGTGCTCCTGGGGGTGACCTTCCTCCAGCGTGTCCCTGTGCTCCAGTGTGCGCTCCAGGGGCGGGGATTGTGGAGTCGGGCACGGAGCAGGCTATCTTTCATAATTAAGGACTCTGCGAGTTTGCCGAGGGTGTTATTAATTAATGGCACTTGTGTCTGGAGTGAGTACAACTCTGTAGTTGAATAAAAGGTGCACTTGCTAAGGGATTATACTCCAGGATTGTCACAGTGAGAATTTGTCAGGGTTTAGCACATTTAACAGCCAAACAGGGCAATTATAATTTTTCCTCTCTGCCATTTAAAAGGTACTGCAATTTATATATTTGATATAGCTCTGTTCTTTTTGCTTTGTATGTGGGCTTATATCACAATAAAAAAAAAATCTGTAG